ATCAACAAATAAAAAAAATTGCCCAGAGGAAGATATAATTTGAAAGACAAATCAGAAAACTTTACTATTTCACTGGAGTTTCCGGGTGTTTGTCTTTCTGCAGCCTTGTAGGTGTTAAGTATTTATGTACCAAACCCCTCATAATTAGCAAAAATTAATATAAGTAATGGATGTGGGAAAGTTATATATGTAAGAAAAGTAATTAAGGAACACATTTCTATGTGGTTGTTTCATCTTCAAATTTAATGTCTATTCTGTTTCCTGGATAATTAATGCAAGATGAATAAAACATGGTTTTGATGGAACAAATCACTTGTTTTCCTTTTGTTTGTGGTTTTTCAGTCTGTACAATCCATTGGGAATAGAGTTAATAATTTTATACAACTTAAATTTTAAAGCAAGATTTTTGAGGCTGTTGCAAAACATTGCTTGCTTTCATTATAAATCTGTCTCTCTGGATATGGTCAGATCTTTTCCAGTCCATCATTTTTTGACAAAGCATATGAAGTTCACAGAGAGCTATTTGTGAAAATATGCTGGTGGATGAAAACTACATTTAAAAGTATAGAAAGTATTTTGTGACTCATTAAATATTCTATGTGACATTTTTGGAGCAGAGCTTTTCATTAAAAAAAATTTATTTGTAAAATATTAATACTAAGCTGAAAGATTTTTTTCAGCAACATAAAAAGCGAGGATTCAACAAGATTCTTTCTTATATTATTATTTCAGAGTTTTTTTCCCCATTTTTTTATTTGGCTATAAAATGCAATATCTAGTAAAAATAATGGAAAATTAAATAACCTACAAAGCTTTCTTTCACAATTTAATATCTTCATTTTCATAAGAAGAAATTAGGTTTGTCCAATAACATACCAATTGTTTGCTAATGTCAAACTTATTCTCCAGTCTATTAACATTAGTAATTGTAAGAAGTAGGAATATTAGGTAGGAATATTAGGTAGGAATATTAGGTAGGAATATGCCTCTCATTTTTCATTAGTGCTTTTTCCTAACTTTTATACACACAAAACCTCCTCCAAAATAAATCTAGACTTGTTAAATGAAGGATTACTGTACTGCTAAGACAAAATGCTGACAAGTACTTTTCAGTTGGAGATTTTTTTTTAATGTATGGATTTTGAGGGTAAGCTTGTCTCAAGTTTTTTGTACAAACCTTTACAGCAGATGTTTCCAAATTAGATGTAATTCCCCCAGGTGGTAATCCTGGAAGATGTAGGTAAGAACAGTGAACCTGACAGATATTCAATAGCTCCTACATATACTCAGACTTATGAGCTAACTGGAAGCAAAGCCAGAAACTCAAAACTGATTCTTGAACCACATGTTACTATTCAAGAAGGCCCTGCCTTTTTCTTTTTATCTTCCTGGTTAACTCACCTTCATCACTACATTTTTCAGCAAGTCACCACATTTTTCAGTGGGAAAACATCTGTAATTGTTCCGCCAAATGGAAGAAAAGTTCAAAAGCGTTGATCCCTGCTGTGAAAGCTGTGAGAAAGACAGATAACAAGCACAGAGAAGTGGCTGCCTATGGTCCTCCACACAGCTTTAAAATTAACCTTATTTCGCTTCCAATAGCTTTCATCTCAAAGCAGTATAGAATTTTACTATGACTTTTCAAATAAAAATGAGGACAGTCCTGCTTCTACATGCCAACAATTATGCTGTGAAGGAAACAGCAGCTTTAAGGTGACAATCTCAAATAAACCATGATATCTGAATTCTCATGGCTTTGGCATATTTTCAATTGCATCTTTGCCAATAACTTATTTGAAAGCCACCTGTGTGATGCTGTTCTCTCCCAACACTGGTTTTATGGATAGTCCAAGAAAACAGTTGAGTTCTTTCTCAGGCATGTGAAAATCTATTTCCTTCAGTGATAACTGAGTGATGTCAGGCAGAAATTGTATATGCCCAGAAATTTCTGATGGTCAAAATATTTTCGAGTTAATTTGGAATGTGGAAGTATGGATAACATTCTCTAGCACAGCTGGTCAAGTACTGATTGTAGCTGACAATTCCAGGTGCTTCCTAATGAAGATATTGCACTGTAGGAAAAAATAATCTACTTGTTGATTACAGATTTTTGTGGAGTCCCTTCTCATTACTTCTATGAAGAAATATCACTGTTAATTATAAGACTTGAAGAAAAAGGTGACAGGAAACAAGTTTAACAGCACTTTTGCAATTGTTCCTCTGTTGGAGCTGCTAAGTTAGGAAGGGTTTGTCTCCATATAGGGAAATTTAATTTTTTACATGTTCCAGAATTATATTCTCTCCTGAAAGTCAAACCTTTCCTCCACATACAATAATGGCCAGAATGAGGAGCAAGTAAGCACTTGGAAAAGAAAAAGTTATAACAGGGCTAAAAAAAAATTGCTACAGAGTTCAGTTAGTAGAAGGATGTGATTGGAAGAATTCTCTTCTAGCTTTTCCACCATAATGGAAAAATAGATCTGGATTTGTGGCACATGCTCACAAAAAGGACTACACATCACATGAGGCTCTGAGCAACCTGGTCTAGTGATACATACCCTGTCCCATTGGGGAAAGGAGGCAGCAGGCTGCAGATAATCTTTAAGGTCCCTTCCAAAGCATTCTATGATTTTATGAAGAAAGGCTGTTTTATGGACAGGAAGCTGACGTGTCCATCACCTTGTACAGTTTATGGCTGAGACGTTAGGAGGCAAAAATCTTATGTAGACAGATGAATAGAAGATACCTATGGATTCATTAAGTCTAAGGATTACTTCCTATCTAAACAAGAGGTTATTACTGTTAGGCTTCTCTGAACTTGTGTCTGTGCCTTTTTACATACTGTGAAATAAAATTTTACTGACTCAAAATCACAAATAGTCAGTCTTGAGAGAAGGGAGAAAGGAAGGTCAAAGACAGCACCAGATATGGTTGCGCACTGGAGCTGCTGAGAGGCAAACTGGCAACATCTGTGGGCTCGGAGGTGTCTCAGCCCAGTAAGAAGACCTACTTTTCCTGGCCAGTGTTCGGCCATATTCGGAGTCTGGTCCCTACAACAATAATCAGTATTCAATATATGTAGCATTAGTGTAGGGACTGCCAGGGTTAAAAAAAAAAATCTTCAAAGTTCAGGAATGATTGATCTGCTTCTTCCCAAGTAATCAAAGTAGAGAAATATTTTTTAAGCATTTTTATTACATTGAACCTTTGTATCATCAATAATTTAATAAAGTATGTGCAAGAAAAAACTTAAAGAACCTGACTGAAAGATTTAAATACAGTTTGGGTTGCCTTAGCTAGTAACTTGGTCCATCAAGGTCCTAGAAGTAATTGAGAAAATATGGTTCCAAAAGTACTATCCAGAGAGAAATATGGGAATATGAGTATTTAAAAAAAAATATTTATTGGTCTTTCCCACAACCATGTGTACGAAGCAAGGATGAGACCATCCCACAGCTTGGTGCTGTCAGATGTCTTGCAAAATATGAGGGCTGAATTATATGTCTTTCTAAAAATAGTAGTTTGTTTTTCTTTTATACAATTTATAGTTTCAATGTAAGGAAGTATAGTTTTAATGACAAGCTGTCTCCTCAAACTTTTGCAGAATATAACCTCTATAAAAAGAGGTTTCAATTTCTACCTAATGTTCTTTAGAAAAGCCATTTCTTGCTTATTTTCATGGTACTTTTACATTATTTTCTTGGTCAAATATTTGTGTCAGTTTATGTTGTGTTTCCTTACAGAAGCTATAGATTCTTTTTCCTTCTGAACCTTTTTCTGGTCATCATAAAATTTGCTTACTATCACTCATGAGAATTTAGGTCAACATCAAACATTAACTGTGAAAACATTCAAAACATTAAACTTGCAATATTTAGAATATTGCTAATATAGCAATCTTAGATGATTCACGTATTCTCTTTAATTACACTAGTTGAAATAATTTATAACTGAAATTTTAAAAAAAGGCAATTTGTACCTTTATCAATGTACTACAGATTTATTTTATTCTCTGGAGTTATCAGATTGCATTCTTGCCAGATCACATAAATTACTTGTGTGTGTTCAAAATCAGTAGGTCTGTACTTAGCATATATTTTATCATTTTCTTTAGCAGTTTTCTCTGAATGATTTGAACGGTATTACTGGAAATGTAGATCTGTAGACAGAACAACATAATTAAAAGAACTTATATAACACATATAATTATGAAGAGTTGCACCCAGCCATGCCCCAAATTTCATGCAATCTATATGATGCTTGCCATATGAATCAGACTATCTAGTGATTTCTGCACCTCTCTGATTTATCTTTTTTGTTCTTTCATTTTGTAAGTAATTTCATCTAAATTACTGTTATGGAAGTTCTTTCTTTTACAAAACTTCAGAAAATACTATGAAAGTAAATAAAATTTTCTACTAAATAAGACTGGGCTGCATGGCTTTCTTGGTTGTGAAGCTATGTACATTTAAAATTAGATATCCACCAGGTCCAAAACTGGGATAGTTATTACTTTCCAGTATTGTCTGCTACAGTTATGCTTCCATTATTTTTATGACCTTTGCTTTTGAGTCGTGGCTCATTGCACTTAAAGAGAGTGAATCACCCCTAAGATTAACAGTATACAGTCAAAATGAAGTATTTTAATCTAAAACTAGTATCTTTATAACCAGGCAAAGGAAACATATTTGAATATTGTGCCAAGTCTTGCTATTCATAAAAATATTTAAAATTATTGAGGAAGAAAACACAAAATAAAAGGAGAGAGGAAAATTTCACTGTTGCATTAAATTATAGAATTAAAGTCTTAGAAACTGTTCTCACCCTCTCAAGCTTTTGCTTGTCAGCGAAAGCTGCTGACAAGCTCAGCCCAAGAAGTCAAGAGTAAATATATATAATTGGTATAGAAACATTGTCCCAAAATCTATAACATATAATGACTTCTTGCTTTCCTCTGACATAGAAGTTGGCAATGAGGTCTTTCTGCACTTTGAGTTTAGAATTCATGAGTTTTTATTGAGATAGGAGGCAAATGCATACTGTGATTTATTAACTGAGAAGAAAAAGAAATAAAAACTTTCAACACTGTCCTAGAGTACAAATTTTATTTTGGTGGGTTTTAGCAGTTATTTTTATTTAAGTAAAATCATATGTCCTGTACTAAATGTAAATGTCAATACCTTGTATTTTCTTTCCTTCAATATAAAGTTTCAATTTTCTGACCAAAACCCCATTCAAACAGAAAGTAAATGTTCTACAACATTGAAATGGAGCCACTCTTTCCCCCTTAGAGCTCTCATGCTCTCTGTGTACTGGGAAACAGAAAGCTTCACTCTTCGGAGATTCCTTTTGTTCTTTACATGCCTTGTCCCTAAAAGGAAGAATTCCAGTAATTCTGTTCCCAGTAAATAGGCTATGCTGGGAAGTCAGTTCTAATCCTTAGAAAATGGGGCTGAATCCCACAGCAATAACCATATTGAGTAAGCCATCACACTATCTTTTTTTTGTTTCTAAGAGACTGCATTTCATCTTCAAATTAATAAGAATTATGTACAGAAGCTCTTCTTGTCCAAACCAATTTCCTCTTGCAGTTTTTTTTTTCTTTTCAAATCCCTAGCCAGCAGTCATGCAGAGATAAAAACTCCTGAAGCTGCTCTGCCTTTTAAATCCAGCGGAACAGGCAGCACTTCACAGGCAGATTGTAGAGCGCACACACACCAAAGTGACTTGCTGATTGGATTGACATGTTCTTTCCTGTAAATCAGCACAGAGAATTAGTGATCACACAGAAAATCATCCTTCTAGGAGAAAATTACTTTTATTCAGATTTGTGTAAATATTCAGAAGTAAAACATACTAGAAAAAAAATCTGCTTTTTCATCATTCTCATGTTTCTCTCTTTCCTGTGATGAAGAATACAAACTTATTGCAGTTTCTATATATTTTTTTTTCTTTTTGCTTGGACAATTTTCATCAAATTCACTGTAGTTCCTGCATATAACTCTGAATGAACCTTAATAAGTCAATTCCAAAGACAGATTCCTTGTTTTCGCTGTAGTGCAAACACATCATGGGCCTGGTAGGCCTGTTGGATACAGTTCTAGATGCATCCCTGCCTGAGCATCTGGTGTCAAATGGCATGGAAATTTCAGTAAGATGTTCATGGACATCAGTATTATTACGGGACAGGAAAGATTTCACATGAGACATATCATGTGTCTTATCAAGAGAATTATTCACTGTTCAAGAATGTGAACACATATTTAAATAACAAGCAATTTATGGAGAAGTGTAAGCATATGCGATATTGCACAGTAATATATTGTTTAATTTAGGTATTTTCCTTTGTGGTTTCAAACTATTTACTTCTTATGTAACAGCCTATGGTCTTCTCTTTTATAATCACACTCTAAAGTTAACATCACTCACCCTTAAACATGCCTTTTAAGTTTTGATTAATGCTATGCAGGTTTAATTCTGATAAGATTTGTTTATTATTCTACATATTTATGGAATATAAATTCTGCTGGTAGTAATCTGAGAGCTATATCCTAATATAAATCTTGTTTATATTAGGACTTCTAGAGCTGTTTGTCAATACTGTACCTTTCTTGAAAACCAAAGGTACTCCTTACCATAAATAATTTAGTTTACACAACATTTACCAGCATCTCCTTGCCCAGTCGACAAAATACAGTTTTGTACATGGTAACAGTCTCAGTTGAGTTGATATGGAATAAAAAATCAGAAGACTGCCTGTGCCACAAGAAGTTATGTTCAAATCAAGGTCTCCACAGAATGAGCAAGATCAGGAAACATAATTTTTAAAATAAGATTAAAAATCTTTATGCAATACAAATGTGTCAGTAAAATAGGAACTGAGTCAACTGAGAAGAATCAATAAACTCTTCAAAGAGTTTCTCTTTACTCTTAATCCTAATGAAATCCACTTTGAAAGATGTGAAGGGTGGTTGTGACTACAGGTACTACCAGAATATAATATAGTTGGTTGCCTGAGGTAATTTAGACGAAGGAATTGATATCATTCCATTTATCTCTTTCAGTTACTTTATGTTATCGGATATCTTAGTTCTTTTCCTGAATAGATTTCAGCTAATGGTTTGGCAATCAGGTACTAAAGATAGATAAATCAATATGCACACAGGAAATATATGGACAGTATTCTCCTGCCTGTGTCTATAGTGTATTTTAGTGACCTGGGAAGACTCCACATTATTTTCTGTGAAGTAAGATGATAGTTCCAGTCCATGCCATAAAATGTGAGCATTTAGATTATTAAAGCTGTTCATGGTTCAGGGCAATTTAGAGGGGACATTATTTCACAGATTCTGTAATGGCATCTTCTGTCTCCTGGGCTTGAACTTATAAACAATCTCTTTTGCTTATCTGTTTTCTGGTACTCATATAAGTGTGCTTACATTTTGCTTCTATTAAGTGCTATCAGAAAACTGTTAGAGATACCTGAAAAGTGAATATTTCATTGTCAATACAAATTATCGATTAACTTGTCAATGCTGATTTCAGGTCTCCCATTTCAGATTGCTTGGATGAAGTGACATTACCTGGAATTGTCTCATGTGGATTTAAGCTCCGTGGACCAGCAAAGCTGCATGGCTCATAGTGGAAGCAATTAGGGAGTAGCTGCAGAAGAAACTGCCTCCTGAGGACAAAAGCACACAGAGGAAAGTGGTAAGGAAACAGTCTTTCCAGATAATGTGAATGAGAAGGAAAATGTATTTGTAAATTGTTTTAGGAGAGGTTGGTGAGGGCTGTCTGAGGCAACTGGTAGATGGAGCGCTTTGAGTTGACACCTTTCCTACAGCAGCAAACAAAGGCTGAGATTAGTGGAGGAACATGGAACCTTTCAGCTAAGACTCCTCTTCAGACATCTGGCATAAACTGACTGACAAAAAAATAAAGCAATTTAATCCCTTTAGTGTCTTCCCCTCCACATCTTAAACATGGCTGTAAAGTTCAGACTTCTATCACAGGATCAGATCAAAGTTGTTGAGCAGCAACGAAGGACAGCTGCTGAAACCCAAAGATGACAATCTCTGGAGTCATTGAGGGGCACTTTTTAAGCTTTACACATGCACTGATTTGAACAAGTACACCACTAAGGAGGAAAAAAGCAATTCCTGAGATGTGGTCTGTTAGGAAGGTGTTTGGACATAGTACTTGAGGTGAGAACAGGGAAAAAAGTCATCCCAGAAACTGAAGAAATTGTAAACAAGCTAAAAAAATCATGTAAAAAACAAAGGAGGCTGAATCTTTAGCAAGTGTGATTGTGGACACCTGTAGCTGGGAATGGAGCTGTGGACCCAAGACCTTTGGAGCACCAAAGGGAAAACGCCTTGAACCATCCACTCCATTAAGCTTATGCTCAAGCAACTTGGAGTGAAGATGGATAGATTTGAATCCAGTACTAAGAAGTGTAGAAGGGAAGGTTGATGAGTTTGTAATTCAGTAGTAATTATAATTCATAGTAATAATTCATACATTTAAAATTTTCTTATTGTATGAAAAATTACTAAGTGTAGTTTTGAAATAGTAATTAATTTATTATTTATTTAAGATATTGATTTTAGACTTACTTTATTTACTTCTTGTTACCTAATCAGCAAATGCATTTATCTCTTGGCTAGTTATATGTCAAGCTTGTAGTCTTAAATATAGAATCAGACTCAGAAGTAAGACCAGCTCCTTCATTCGGAAACCCAGATCTCCTGGTTCTGAATCACTTTTTAGCACTTCATGAAGTCATGAAGATAAATAATTTGAATGGACTGAGATAAAAAGTTGAATCTCACAGAAAACAAAAAATGTATCATCCAGCACCAATTCAGGCACAAGGCAAATGAGTACAATTCTTGATAGTGTTGTGAGAAGTATAACAGATTACAAGATCTGTTCCATCAATAATCAGGACATCAAGGTTATGAAATTACGTGGGGTAAGAAATGTCAGCTTTTAGAGCACTGCCAAACAAGGCTGCACAAAGGAAAAATGCAGTGAATGCCATTCCTTCCTTCTTTATCACTTCAGTGTTTTTTTTCAAGTTTCTGAAGGGCTGCTCACTTGTGGATAAAAATCTAGAGAAGACTCATCAGATGGCAGGTACTCAGGATGGAGCAGACAGTCGTCTTCAGAGAGTGAGATGGCAGACAAAGGTAACTGATCTGGCCTAGTACACCTAATGCTAGCCATGTGAAATTTTAGAAGCCAGCTGAATTTCTGAAAGATTGAAATAAGTAAGACCTTTGGAATAAGAGAAGCATGCTAATCTCTTCCAGTAGAACTGAAAAAGAAATGAGGATTGCAGGCTACTGAAGCACAAAACATGCTTCAAGATAGGTTGTGAGAAAGAGAGGAAACAAAGTATCTGCTGATTCTTAAAAGAATATTTAGAGCAAGGATGATAAGAGACTTGAGTATTGGACAGAGCATTGTCTGCGTGCAGAGGCTGTAATTCACTGATTTTTTCATGTGAATTATGAAGTTCTGGCACTCATATAGACAAATAAGTAAAAATACTTGAAGAGAAAGGTGGCAAAAAACCACTTCTCAAAATACAGCATCCCAATGTCTGTTAATCATGATCATCCTCTTGGAGATCTTGTGGAAAGTATCCCACCTGCAATAGACTGAATAACTAACCAAGTAATAACTTTCCAGAGTGCAGACTGAAAGGCAGGAAGTAGAAGTCAACATCAGAACTTGTCTCTACAGAAGAACCTGTTATGTTTCGCTTATGAGAGGAAATAACTGTGGATGAAGGGAACGAATATTGGGAAGATTTAAGCTGATCAGCTGTAGCACATGATGCAGCATATAATGCTCTGTGTGGGGAAAATTAACTGGTTCAAGAGCTCTTTTATTCTTTCCAGAAAACTAGATGATTTTTTTCATAGGAACTCTTTCTAATGTTACCTTTGAAAGTCCTGGAAAACTGTCAGGATTTAAAGCTCTCAGAATTTAAGGGTATTAGAGGATGGTCAATATAATTCTAACATTAGATTGGGAAAAGTGGTGACCTGGAGCTCTGTATATTGACATCAGTAATGGAAGACTAATGAAAATTGTGCAAAATAGCGGAAGTCTTAATTGAGGACTCTGACCCAAAATAATTGGAAATTGAAAACGTTATTTAATGCCAGTCAACATGGTTTCAAGAAATGCAAGGCTTTAATATAATTCCCTTTCCTACAGACAAGACTATAAGTCTAATTGTTATAGACAGTCATGTTGATAAACACAGTTGATATTCAATTTTGATTTACATCTTTAGCTGTATGAAATAATAAAGTCTGTACTCAGTCTATATTCAGGTGGGAGTAGTTAAAAAATTTGGGAGATATCAGTGTGCCATAGAAACTTTGGCAGGGCATAGCTCTTGTGGGATCAGATAGTTGGTAGGCATGTCTGCAGGGTGAACTGTGATAAACCTTGCTGATCCCATCACTCCCCCTTTGCTTGGGAGCTGCATTTATATGCTGGTACTTCCCCTGGTCCTAAAGGACCCATGCTGCAGTTATGCTTGCCAAGTTCCTCGCCCATCCATACCTTCTGACCTGACTTTCCAGCCTGACCTCGGGCCTGCCTCATCCCTGTGGATTTACCAAGAAATTGCTGGGTTGTTGGAGACCCATGGTCAGTAAGCTGTGTTAATATAATGAATATATTCCGTGAGCTGCCATGGCTACACCTATGTAGAGACACAAAAAAAAAAAGTAACTACTTTTCCCTGAACAAGAGGGCTACTCTGATGTCCCTTGCCTTCCAAAATTCAGGTGGTCCCTGGCAGCGTAATTGCAGCTAAAACTCCTCCTGCAGGCAAACTGTACTGCTTAATGTTGTTATTCTCTGTTTCATGTCTTTGGAGACACCAATCAATGAGGATTACTTTGATACTGTAAGCTCAGTATTATTGTACATTAATACACTAATGGTACTCTATCATCTTTTCATGTCCTCAGGCAGCACTGGGGAGTTAAAGCTATATAAAAATAAATTAGAACTGAAACTTAGATGCAAAACTAAGCAGAAAGCTCCAAACAGAAGACAGAAGTTGGCTGCAAACAACAGATTCAGCAGAGGAAATGTAAACCAGCAAACTAACATTTAAAAAAATCTCAAAGGAGAGACATAAAGTTAAGACTGTCAGTGCTGTTACTTGATGTATTTCAAAGAGATGTTGGGAGACCAAAGTGACAAGCTCAGTGGGAGATTCTATTTTTTCCCCTCCAAACAACACACCAGTTTTTGTGTAACAGAAAAAGAAACTGAAAAAATATTATGATAATCATTTGGGATACAGAGACATCCATCCAGATTCTGGGAACAAACTTTTTACCAGGTAATTTTATTTTTATTGCAGAGTCTTTGGCAGGCTTTTATTAATTGATATGATAATTACCCTGCTGCTGAAGAAAAGGAGTTGCTAATTTCCCAGTGTGTCCTTCACTCTTTGATGACTCTTAGAGCAGTCTGGAGGCTTCTAGAGGTAGAAGTGACCACTGTATTTAGCTCTGTGTAGGCACTACTTTTGATTGTACTGAGGGCTCCAAACCATGGGATCTGAGCAAAACAAAACATAGGGTCTTAGGAAGGCCTGTCAGTCAGTCCAGTCTCAAAATGATGTTACCACTGGATATAGCAGGGTACACATTAAGATGTATTTTCAAAAATTTCCACTGAATAAAAGTTGTGCATTTGTATTGGAATGGATCAACAAGGCTGTGACATACATGAAGGCATGCTGAAAACAGTACCCTTCAAAAATCCAACAATGATTTACTGCCTGAAATTTATTCTTGAGTGTGTCTTCATACTTATCCCTAAAAGAGCTACTGAATTATGCAGTTCTGATGCCTACAGTTTCTTGTCTCATTCTCAAAAAGTGTCTGCTTTCTAGCAGTGTATATAGTGAAATTCTGCATCTAACTAAAGCAGACCATGAAGTAACTGGGTTCTTCTCCTTCCACATGGCACGTATCAAAAAGGAGATGTGAAATGCTGAGACTGGTTTGGAACTACACCTGAGCTGATTAGCTAGCCCATACACGTATTGATTGGCCAAACTGCCACTGCTTAACCTCTTAGTGCTGCTGTGCTCCAACTTTTAGGAAATATAGGAAGGTTCTAAGCCATTTGCCCATCAAGCCAAACAAGATGAAGCTGTGAACCATCTCCAAAGGTCCTTTGTCTGTGTTAGCTTTATTAAGGAATGCACAAAAGATGTCACCCCTGTAAGGAGATTTCAACTGCCAGGAACAGATCAATGAAGAAAAAATTTTGAGGAGGTGAGTGGGGGAGGAACCCAAAAACCTCACTAATGAAATATGATTTTTTTTTTCACTAAGTGTCTCGCTGTTCGGATCAGCTGAGTTTATGCAATGGTGATGTAGCAAGCAACAGGAAGGATTATTTTTATAAATCAGTGCTAACATTATACTAATATGCTTAAAAGCCAGTGTATTAAATGCACAATAGTCAATATAAACACTGTTTGTAGACTTAGCTAGTATTCCAGTTGTAAAGTTGATGTTTCAACACGATTAACAGTGTCTTTGCTTTAAAATCGATGATATGTAAATGTTTTTTAAGATAAAACCACTTGAATATTTGCATCTTCCTGTTCTATAAAGAAAATGTTATTAACTGCTAATGAAAGATCAAATTTGTAGCATCATTATAAAATAAAGTTAAACATAAAAGAGAAGTTTAAATATTTTTCAAGAAATATGCCATACATTAGATTATACTAAAAATCTAGGAACACTGATATGGAAGTACAGTAACTTGATGTAATAGAGAATGACAGGTAGAGGTCATGTATCAAGCCAAATGCAAGTAAACTTCCCTAATACTTGTCATCACAGGTGTGAGAAAATTGATGTGTTCATTTATACCACATTAACATCTGTTGCCACAGTCCTTAGAAAAATATAAAACCAGCATATGAAGATGGGTGATTGTATGTGACAACTTAGAAAATATTTGTCATCTTTAGTCATTGTCCTGTACAAAGCATGAAATTTAGAGAGCAGAAGTTGAAGTGTCCCATGCTGCTGATTCTGATCCTGGTATTTACTGCAAGAAGCAAAAATAAAAAAAAAATTAAAAAAAAAAAAAAAGAGTTTAGGGCAACAGCAAACAAAGGAATGAAAAGGAAGACATACAAGGTTTTTAAACCAAACAGAAGCTGAGAGTCAGAAATTTTAATGGCACAATTCGCATTTTGATGTGAATGCTGATGATCTCAGGGTCACAGCATTATCAGTCTTGTCTTCCTACTTGCATTCCTAAAGTGTAGGGTTTGCAGCTTACATTTTAAGAACTGTTCTGCCCTGGACATTACTCACTATTCTTAGAACAACTTCAGATAAAATACCCATTAGATGACAAAGCTATAGATAATGTGGACTTTAAGCACTGCTGCAATTGAAAGCCATTTAGAGCTGGAATAGATTCTGATTTAACTCCAGAGCAGACATGGTGGGGCCCTCAGTTGTGGTTTCTGAACCATTGCCATGGTGCTCAGACCTTATCAGTGAGAGATGGAAGGGGGAAAAAAGAGGGGTGGGGGGAAGCAAATAAATACAACTGACCTTGGCTAAGCTGAACATATTGGCTTGACAGATTTCTGAACACTGTTCTAAACACTTGGTTTTATCCCAGCACGGCTGCCCTCTCAGAGCCCTTTGTACAAAATTGGTGGTCATTCAATTAGAAACATTTCCAGACATTGACTCAGAAATGTTGGCATTGAATATATCTAAACAAATGGAGTGCCTGTATGAAAGGCGAGAGGATGATGGTTTTCTTCTGCTAGCATACTTTGTGATGTGATAATGAGGTGCTCTTTTTGTAATAGGCCATAGTATTGTGTAGGTATGAGGATTTCACACACCAGCAAATTTCAAAGAACTGTTTTCAGTATTCCAGGAAATTAAGTGATAGAACAAGGCTTTATACTCAGTGTGCATTCTCTGCTCCCACACTGTACACCTCTAATGCAATTTACCAGTGAATTAAGCATAAGATGTGATTTATCCCACCAACCTAATATTTCATGTTAGTCAGTGGGGTGACTGCTTTTATGGCTTAGCTTTATAATGCCATTATAGTTTAGCACACTCTTGCCTTACCAGTATGCTTAAGGGGGTCTGTCTTTGATATGTGCATGTAGCTCTTATTAACTTCAAATTCTTCCTTGATGCAAGATCCCTGTAGTCAATAGAGCTAAAGCAGGGTTCTTTGCACCTTCTGACTAAGCTTTTTCTGTCAGATTTTATGGAAACAAAATGGTGCCAATGTGACATAAATTTACACAACCCCTGCTCACAGCATATATTGGTGGAGAAGGAGGGATGGATTAGTTCCTCTCTATTTCAGGATGCCATATTTTAAAGCACAGGTTTTATCTTTTAGGTTATTGTATGCTAACTAAATTAAATTATATTTTATGACATAAGCAGTCCTTGTACTGGTTTGTGATCTCCATATAACTAGAAATTCATTGAGGAAAAGCCCAATTAAATTAACACAAAAGAGAATGAACATTCAGTACTCATGACCAACTCTCATTCTAGACAAAGGGAGTGTTTCTTGCTTATCTTTAGGTTTGAGTTTTATAGGGATGTTGGGATGTTTTGTTTGTTTGTTTGTTATTCTTGGGTTTTGTTGTTATTTTTATTTCTTTGTTTTTATTTTTTTTTACTTTCTACCCTACAGAATCACAGATTACCTGTATTGCACTTATCTTTTCCTGCAAATAGCACCACACTAATGGGAAGGTGTGGAACTGGGTCTTTTTCTTTTTCCTATTTACAAATCTGCTTAAAGTTAACTTCACAACCATTACAGGATGCACCTAGACTGTCAGTAATTTTTTCTGATCTCTAATGCACTATGACATTTTACGTCGTTAGGTAAAGGTAATATATTTTGTAGAGTACTGTAATATTATTGTGGTACAAAGCATGACTGCAGCACAGTGTTGACATTCAAGAAAGATGGAAAGTTTCCAAACAGTCTATTATCACGTCATTTTTTTAATCATTAAAAAAGTGCACTCCTATCTCCTTTTACATGTGTTATGGCTTACTTTGTTAAAGCTATCTATAGCATAGTGGAGATATATAGTGGATGAAAAATAACTGTTAGTTATGAATTTCCCCCAGATCAGAATGTATCTGCAAGCATTTCAAAATGCCAGTTTCAAGGTAATATTTTGCTACCAAAGCTAAAGGACTAAAGCATTCACTTACAGAGTCTGATATGAAAATATAGAAGAGAAGGTTGCTGTTTATAAAATCATTATTTATGTTACTTCAACTGCAAACAAATTACTGGGTCCTGGGGTTTGTGAGGAAGAAAAGCTCTACAATTTGCAAAATGTTTTCTCCAATTTAGATACAGCTGTAAAGAGATCAAGGTCTCGGTTAGACTAATATTCTAATGCCTTATTAAGAATTAAAGTGTTGACAGTTTTATCCTTGTGGGAAAAAAATTGCAGATAAATATCTGAAGGGATTTATTTATATATTTCATCCTTCTTGTCCTTTAAGTTAGAATTGGTTATGACAATATCTCCTACTGAATAAAAAAATTCTTATTGTATTTGTCAGTTTTTAGTTATTTTTAATTATTTTTTTTTAATTTGTAGGAGGGAAAATTTTAAATTTGAACCCATGGAATAGATAGTATGAAAATTCACAGCACTCTTTTATGTGATCAGGTAACACAGTGAAAATAAATTCTTATCAAAATGTAAAAATAATGCTTTTAAGGAACTTTTAAATTAAAAATATAAAGCAAAACTGCTGATAGGAAGAAAAAACAATATAAGTGAGGAAACAAGAAGTAAAATCTCAAGTGCAAAATGGAGAGAAAAGGGGGAAGAATAAAAGTTTTTGTAAAGAGTGCAAAAACAAGAACAAAAATGAAAGGGAGCACAATTAAACATTGGGATACAAGAAAAGAGAAGCTACAAGAAGTGGGTGAGGTTTTATTTTATGCTTTGTACAGTATGCAGGAAAACTGCAATAGAGAGACAAATATACTGGATACTGGTCTGCTATTTCCAAATACTTACCAGTGAGAAATCAGGAATGAGGGAATGGCTTTTTACATCTCACTCTTCCCACAAAACTGGTCAGCATGGCTAAAATTGGTGTAGGAAATCTGTACAGTGCAAAGTAAAAAGAGGATTAGATACAAAAAGTATTGAAGTGTGCTACAAAGACTCTGAAAAGTCAATGTTTTTCATTTGCTGGGGGCTCCAGAGCAGGTTGTAGCTCTCTAGATGGGGTCTCAGAGCAGAGGGGCAGAATTCCCTGCTTCAATCTGCTGGCCATGTTGGTTTTGATGCAGCCCAGACCACATTTGCCCTTTTTGTCTTCAAGCCCACGTTGCCTGGTCATGTCCAGCTTCTCATCCACCAGCATCTCCAAGTCCTTCTCAGCCAGGTTGTTCTGAACCTGCTCATCCCCCAGCCTTTACTGATACCGAGGGTGGCCTTGACCAGGTGCAAGACAGTACACTTGGCCTTATTTAAATGTCATGACATTGCCATGGGCCCACTTCTCAAGTTTGTCCAGATCACTCTGGATGGCTTTTGGCCCTTCAGATGTGTCAACTTAGCTTGGTGTCATCTCCAAATTTGTTGAGGGTGCACTCAAACTTGTATGCCATTAATGAAGATATTAAATATCACTGATCCCAATAAAGACCCATGAGGGACATCACCTGTTACTGATGTTCACTGGGACTCTGGGCCATTGATCACTCCCCTCTGGATGCAATCGTCCAAACAGTTTATTATCTACCTAACAGTCCACTTATCAAATACATCTCTCTCTAATTTACAGAGAAAGATGATGTGGAAAACCATGTAAAAAGATTTACAGAAGTCCAGAAATTCCAGATAAAGGACTTTGTCCACTGATGTAGCCACTCCATCATAGAAGACCATGATGGAGTGACTACATCAGTGAACAAATGTGTGTCCAGCGAACCTGGACAATGGTCACAAGCAAGACTGAAGAGAACACTAAAGGGAATTAAATACCAAAAGTCATGAGTAAAGGAAAACCAGCTAATAAAAAATAATAGGAGCACTACCACTTTTCATTTACAGAAATTCACATGGACCTCAGAATAATAACTTGTCAGTCGAGAGAATTTTTGTGTTTTCCTTAAAGGATAAACTCATCTGAATCCATAAACCAGAAGCCTTGAAAAGCTGTATCGTCTCTTTCTTTTCTCCCCATTTTACTGTATATTTTATTTTAAGAAATAGCTGTGGGGCTTTTAAATATACATATGAGCTGCACAACATAACTTCAAATGGCCTCTGAAATCAGCAAGGAGTTTTAGACTGTGTTGTAATTTTCTTTTATTTTTCTCATTTTCCAGATTCACTGGATTTAACAAGAGACTTAAATACCAGTATAGTATAACAAGGCAGCATGGATGACAGTCTCTAAATCTCAGGCAGTCCTCCCGTATGAACAATGTAATCTTAAAAAAAAAATACTTCAATTAAATCCTTCAACTAGATAAAATACTCCTCTATATTCCTTTGTCAAAATAATATCTTGGCTTTCCATATATATTCTTCAATAAGAATCAGTCTTATGTTGCTCCAGAGAGTACTGGAGGGATGGAAAATTACCCCTAATATGGGGGAAAAATAATTTACACTAGATGAATGAAGAAACGCACGCTTCATTTTTTGAACACTGAACACATTCCACTGCTTTGCATCCCTGCAGGTGTTTCACAGCAGCTTCTGATCCCAAGGCTGTAATCCCCAAATTGCTATATCTCTGCTCCTCCAGAGCTAGAAGACTGACATTTGTTTGTGAAGACCACATGCTATTCAAGACATGTCACCACTGGGAGGAACACAGGGCCATTGTATCTGCTTTCAAGCATCTCCTTTACTGGTAGTGGTTTGGGAAGCTGGGCATGTAAAATCATGGTTGTATATCTAGAGATGCTAGTTCTGTCAGGGTGAATATTAGCCTCCCTACCTGCTGATTGAAACTGGGATGTAGAAATACAGATCAGCGGTGCAGGCAACTTGGAGCTGAGTGGGGAAACCAGAGAAATCTAAAATATTCTAATTCCAGCTCAATTCATTGGGGATTTCAAATATACCTAAGGTGCTGACCAGAAGCACCAGGTGCTGATTTGTGACCTTAGATTTCTTGCACAGCCCAATTGTCGCATCACAGTTTTGGGGTCATGTTCTATTTCCCCCGCTGACCCCATACCAGCACAGGTATTTTCTTGCTGTGACCTCAGCATCAGTTTAGTTTTATTAAACCTATTTAGTCTAAAATCAGAGACTGTCCATGAAATTACAAAGCACCTTATAATGATATTAGTTTCAGTGACATTTTACCTGAGACAGGATTTGACTTTAAGAGGATTGCAGGATAATCAGGAGAAAATATCATCTCTCCCAGATTAGCTTTGTTTTATTAATGCTAAAACTGCTGGACTGTGGCATTTGAAAAGACAGGCACAGTCAACAATTAGATATCTTATTTTGTGTATCCACCCTGATCTCCTACATGGTTTCAAACATTGCTGAGTGATCAGTGTGCAGAGCAAAACTGGTAAAATGAACTGGCTTGTTTCTAGTTTATATTTGTAAAGGTAATGAACTTCAGATTTTCAGGTGAATATGTTTGAATAGTAGTGATATATCTCCTGGGTAGTGGGAAATTGGAATTGCTGTGCTATATCTTCCGGATCTGTATTTCAGTGCACAAATGTCAGATACACCCACTTACATACAGGGGTAAATAGTCTGGAAGACCTTTATTTTTTTTAAAGTTTTTTTTCTCTAGTCATTGTTAAACCAACTAAAGCTGGTTAAATTGGTCTATAGCATCTTCAGAATCTAAAATCATTGTGATATTTAATTAGTATTTGTCAAAGTACATGACTAGGTTTCCAAACTGAGGTACAAGCAAACTACCTATTTATGTGCTTTCGTGAGCTACTTCATGAACTGCTCTTGCTACTTCATAACTACTGAATTGGTAGTAATTCAGTTTGGGTATGTGAACATATGTCAGAAATTGTCCAATATAAGTACATTATTTTGCTTAAAATTCTGAATAACATGCAAAGAAGATTTGGTACATCTAGCCATGTACCAATATATCATTTGGCTGTGATATATCTTGATGTCAGTTGCTATGAGATAGGTTTAAAAATCACATAATGTGGAAACTCTTGTAGAGGAAAATTGCTTTATGTTTCCCCTCTGAAAGAAACTTTCCATATATACAGTTGTAGAGTAAAAGAGATTGAAAAATATATGTTCATAACAATTACAAAACAAAGTGAAAAACATGGTTTGGAAATAAATTAATGGCATTTATTTATTACAAGTAATATGAACCAAAAAAATGAAAGAGATGGCTATTTTGCATGTCATCAAAAAATGAAATCTACTATATACACCATGTTCCAACCATAACTGGAGATTTTATAAGAAGGATGAAACAAGGGAAGACAAAAAACAGCATAGATAGAGATACAAAAAGTATTTGCAGGCATTACTGGGGAAGAGTGGGCAATGTGTTCGTATAAGTTTAGCTTTCAGAAGGCTGAAACTTCTTCCAGGATCATCTCACCCTGTGAGTATGCCCAGAGTAAAATTTTGACAGTGTAGAATTGTAGATAAATTGATGCTTAAGTAAAGTATGATCTTCTCAGTTTGAAATGAAAAAGAAATAAATGTAATTATTCTTATATTTTATTCTGGCATTCTTATTTTTACAAGAATACTATGGACAAAAAAAAAAAGGCTTTCTGAGAAGTCTTTATAATTAATCTATAGCAAACAATATTTGACCTTGAAGAATTGGGGTATGTGGGGATTGTGGTGTGAATTTTTCTTTGTCATAGATTATAATAACCTTCTCAAAGTCTTGGGATCCCACTGATTATTTTTTTTTCCCCTAAACCCCCTAGGTGCCAAGACTTACTGCTTGAAAAGCAGTGGTGGATATAAATGTCAAACAACAGTAACCAAAAAACAAGAGGAATTTTTTCTTATGTATATTCATTATGTCAAGCAGTCAACTGCTTAATGTAGAAAAATACTTTTTAAGTTAACTTTGTTGATAATTTAAGTGGATGTTGAACTACGCCAAATAGGCTGCGTAAATTCTTGAGAATGCTTAAGAAAAATTTACTATCCCGGTAAGAGAATTTTCTTTTTAATTATCATTATTTGGATACTAAACACTTCCACAATTTAAAATGTATTCTTTTAAGTAAGACCACCTGGACATTAAGTCTGTTAAGCCTTCATAGCTGATGCTCACTGCATGCCCAAGGCAGGGATGGTGGGTTTTTGGGTATGAATTTTTTTCCATATCTAAGTCATAAGCTGCTTTCAAGAGACTAGGTGGTGGGCAGGAAATATAATAATATGCACTTGCAGTCCAAAAGGCCAACCACATCCTGGGCTACATCAAAAGAGGAGTGACCAGCAGGTCAAGGGAGGTGATTCTCCTGCTCTACTCTGCCCTTGTGAGACCCCACCTGGAATATTGTGTCCAGATCTGGGGTCCTCAGCATAAAAGAAATGTGGACCTCTTGGAGCAGGTCTAGAGAATGGCCATGAAGATGACGAGAGGATGGAACATTTCCTACAGTGACAAGTTGAGGGTGTTGGGGTTCTTCAGCCTGGAGAAGATATTATGAGCTTCCAATACTTAGATGGTGTTGCAGTCAGGTAGAAAAATTGCAAAAGAAAGGCCTCATAAAATCAGGCCTTCTCTGTTAGATGGCCTGTCATTTTTTTTCTAAGTGCAGCTAGCACTTTGCAAGTTCCCATTTGAAAACAATCCTGGTATGAATTGTTTGTTAACATAATAGTCTATTCCTCAGTAAAAACAGCTAGCACCTGCATAAAAATTAAATCTATCCCATGAGAATCAGTGAAGAAAACATGTAAACTATTTAAGAATAGAGAGATTTGATGGAAAAGTAAAATTCCTTTTACTAGTCAATAGAGTAATTGGCAAGGAAGTTATTAATCTATTAAAGTTGCACATAGGGCCAATAAAAACTGTATAAAAATGAGTTGTGTGAATAAATAGGAGGTTTTCTGGATGAAGAAAATGGAGTCTTGCCTGATTCATTCTGATGGA